GGGAGGGATGGAGTGGCTGGGTGATGGACATTGGGGAGGGTATGTGCTATGGTGAGCACTGTGAATTGTGTAAAACTGATGAATCACAGACCTGTACACCTGAATCCATACATTATATGTTAAAAAAATTAAATTAAAAAAAGATATACTTGGAAAAAAAACGGGCAGAGGATATGAATAGACGTTTTTCCAAAGAAGACATGCAGATGGCCAACAGACACATGAGAAAACACACACATAAACACAATGGAATAGTACTCAGCCATAAAAATAATGAAATATTGGCATTTATGACAACATGGATGTACCTAGAGGATATTATGCTAAGTGAAGTAAGTCAGACAGAGAAAGACAAATACCAAGTGATTTCACTACCAGTGGAGTCTAAAAAAAACAGAACAAAGAAAACAAAACCCAGACTCATAGATACAGAGTTAGGGGTGGGGAGCTGTTGGAGGGCAAAATTGGTAAGGGGATTAAGAGGTACAAATTTCCAGTTATAAAAATAACTTAAGTCTTGGGGATATAATGTACAGCATGGGGAATACAATCAACAATATTATATTAACTTTATATGGTTAGAGATGATAACTAGACTTATTGTGGCAGTTTGTAGTATATACAAATATTGAATCACTGTGTTGTACACATGAGACTAAAAATATTATTTGTCAATTATACTTCAATAAAAACAACAACAAAAAGAAATGAAGTTTAGTTCTTTGTTGCTAAACTCTTAAGTTATATGCAAAGAGAAGAAACCATCTGCCTAATTAATTGCAATCTTTAATGGAAATCTGTTATAGCCTAGTTCAACACTTGATTCCAGTAGAAGGGAAATAATTCATTTCACTTTTTTGAGGCTACAAAGTAGTTTATTCTTCTTTCCCTACATGTAGCAAGACTTATGAACATAGGTTCACAAAAGAGATTCAGTGCTAATTATTAAAGCTTCCTCATATTTCCACTCTCATCAGTTGTAAATAATGTATCTGACTGTAAAATGGAAAAAGTTGAAATTTTCCACTTGTGCATTTTGAGCTTTTCAGAGGTATTATAAACTCTGGAAATAATAATAAAAGATACTAGGCTTTATACAGTGCTTTTTGTTTGAGGAACTCCTATAAACACTAATGCATTGATCCTAACACAGTACTTGATTGTGACTTTAAAAGGTCATGAGTTAGTGCTGTTACAAAAAAAAAGTTTAAAAAGATTGGAGGGGGAGCTCTAACTTATAAATACTTTTAAAAAAATATCTAGATAAAAGTTGATCTAGACAATTGAAAAAATAAAAATTATGGTGGATTTTTATTAACTTTTAGCCTGTGATAGATTTTTATCCCTTTAATTTTTTTCATTTATTTGTGAATCTTAAAGGTTAATTCCCTTCTTAGAGTAGTAAGCAGAATTTTCTTTCAAACTTTTAGTCCTTCTCAGCCAAGGCTTAAACTTGTGGTGGTTTCCTGAGTTTGTCACATTAACATAGCAATGCATTTTATTGGCCCGAATTAGAAGATCATTGTTTTAATTTTCTTAGTTTAATATCTGTAGTATGTAGCTGTTGATTTTGATGATTATGGTGGTCATGTGGCTTAATCTTCCAACTTTTTTGTGTTTTGTAGGTTTATTCTTCAGTCCAAGGAGGCAATTCACAATCAACTGTTAGAGAAACAGAAAATAGCAGAAGAAAAAATTAAAGAATTAGAAGTAAGTTTTGAGTGAATATTGACAGTAGTAAATTTTAAGAAAAAGGTTATTATCTCACTCTCATGTTAAATGAAAACGTATGCCTGCCAAAGTCATGTCATGTTGTTTTCATTCTAATTGAGTTTTAGAGCAATAAACCAGTCATATTCATGGCAGTGTGCAAGACACTCCTCCCCCCTCCCCCAAAGGAAAAGAAAAAAAAAAGGAAGGAAGAAAAAAGAATAGTCTCTGGGAGATGTAGAGATTTTTGAAGAAGATAGGATGCTGTTAATCTGAATGTATTTTCTCCATTGCCTTCAAATGAACATGTCTGTTTTTAAAAGCAAAGCAGGGGCGCCTGGGCAGCACAGTAAGTTAGGTGTCCAACTCTTGGTTTTGGCTCGGGTCGTGGTCTCAGGGTCATGAGATTGAACCCCCAGCGATGGGCTCCCTCCTCAGCACGGAGTCTGCTTAGGTTTCTCTCTCCTTCTGCCTCTCCCATTCGTTCTCCCTCTCAGTAAAATAGATAAATCTTTAAAAAAAAAAAAAAAAAAAAGAGAAAAGAAAAAAGGAAAACATGCAGTATATATTTAAACACCACCTATTCTGGTGGATCGGCATGAGAGTGGGTGATGATAATAGTATTTAAAGGATTTTGATATATGTCTCATATTGCAATTCGTTTAACATAGATTAGGTATAACTATCTGAAGGATGATGCTGCAGTGAGGAAAACAATTTTTTTTTTCTGCTAGGGGAAAAGGTGAGGGGTAAGAGTAACTTAGTAAATTTTTGGATAATTGGAATTTATTACATTTACCATATACATTAAGGCCTTTGATGAGATACTCTTCTTGGGCTTGAGTAGAAGGTCCATCCTGTATATAGTAAAAGTTGGCCTGGGCAAAAGACTGGTTGTTATTTCTTTGGGGCCAAGATTTCCTGAAATGGGGGTGGTTACAATGACTTCATAGGTCACTTTATCTAATTTGTGTGAGTACTGTGTGAGGCAGTAGTTCAGAATCTGACTCAGCCCTCTACGGAATTGGTGAGACACCCCCTGTATCCTCCCGGGGGTTTCTTAGGGCACCAACTTGGCATGGCCTGGTATGTAGTGTCTTAGGTTACTTAGGTTTATTTTTGTTTGACTACTGACCATAATTTAAACAAACTTGATAATAGATTTGTAGCTTAGAAAGGTGTATTGTAAAAAACAAAACAATTAAGCATACAAACAAAAAAAACAAAAAAGAAAAACTTATCTTTTAGTAACCAGCTTATTATTGTGTCCTATTTTATCATTTTTGTTAGCCCAACTGTTCTAGATTGAATTTTGTATCTTCTGCTGTTCTCAGAGTAACTTCAAAAACCACCTACTTGTGATCTCTCTCTGTCAAATAAATAAATAAAATATTTTTAAAATATCTTAAAAAAAAAACTCCAAATAAAACTATTTCATGTGGATAACTGAAAACCTGTTTTTGCAGCTGTAGGTAAATACGTCTAAAAATTATCCTGATGAATAAGTAAGCAGATGTAAAGTATTGTATATATGATTCTCTTTTTATGAAAACACAAAAAATAAGAGCCCTATATAAACATTCAAAATGATATTTCAGGGGGCACATGGGTGGCTCAGTCAGTTAAGGGTCTGCCTTCGGCTCAGGTTGTGATACCGGGGTCCTGGGATCAAGCCCTGCGCGGGTCAGGCTCCCTGCTCAGCAGGGAGCCCGCTTCTCCCTCTCCCTCTGCTGCTCCCCCTGCTTGTGACTTCTCTCTCTCTCTGTCAAATAAATAAAATCTTTAAAAAAAAAAGATATGTCAGTATATATATTATATTAACACTGGTTACTCTAAGGAAATTAGGTGGGATATGGGCATGAAAATATTTTTTTCTTAAAATCTTTGCATTGGATAAATTATAGCATGTGTTAACTTTTATAATTAAAAAGAATATTATGGTAAAATTACCACAGATGATGATTATAGCATACCGTTTAGTTTTGATGAGTATTAGGATTTTTTTTTTTTTAAGTAAGCTCCACACCCAGTGTGGAGCCCAGCACGGGGCTTGAACTCACGACCCTGAGATCAAGACCTGAGCTGAGATCAAGTGTTGGACACTTAACCAGCTGAGCCACCCAGGCACCCCAGGAAATTTTTTTTCCCCAAGTTACCTTTTTTTTGGAGTTTCTCAAATACTGGTAGAGTATCCTGATATCTGCCAGATAATGGAAGTAGATTAGCTGGCTTGTTGGTACTTATTTGAAATGCTAATTACAGCTACAAAAAACTAGCAGAATTAAACCCCAACTTCTTTCCTAGAATATTTTATTGTGTCTTTTTCTTTTTAATCTTTTATTTTACATGTTTTTTTAATATCACACAAGCACTGGTTTTTTTTCCTGATTATTCAGTTATTGAGAGAGATATGTCAAATCTCCATGATGATACTTACCAGTTTCTCCTTCATCTTTCAGCTTAGTGGGCATTGGTGTTTAGAGATTACTCTCCATGTATTTAAGTGCTCATTATTACTGTATACATAGTTCAGAGGATAGATTTCATTTTGCTTTATATGTTTGGGAATTTCTCAGGTCTTTTAAAAATAGTATTCTGCTGACTTCTGGCTTTTGTTGTTGCTGTTGAGAAGTCATCTATCAGCTTAATTGTTGTTCCTTTGTCTTTTTTCTCTGGTTACTTTTATTTATTTATTGTTTTAAAAAATTTATTTGAGAGTGAGAGAGCATGTACACGAGTGGGGGGTGGGGAAGAGGAAGAGAGAGAATCCTCAAGCAGACACCCTGCCGAGCATGGAGCCCGACATGGGGCTGGATCCCAGGACCCTGAGATCATGACCTGAGCCAAAACCAAGAGTCAGCCGCCCAGCCGATTGATCCACTCAGGCACCTCCCTGGTTACTTTTTTTTTTTTTTTTTAAAGATTTTATTTATTTATTTGAGAGAGAGAGTGAGAGAGCAGGAGCAGGGGCCGGGGAGAGGGAGAAGCAGGCTCCTTACTGAGCAGGGAACCTGACGTGGGGTTCAATTCCAGGACCCTGGGACCATGACCTGAGCCACGTAGGTACTCCCACTCTGGTTACTTTTAATATTCTCTTTGTCTTTCATGGTTTGTGGTTTCTTTGGGATATGTTTAGGTGTGGAGTTAGTCTTTTTATTTTTTTCTTAATCCTACTTGGTTTAAGTTGAGTTTCCTGAATCTGAGGATTAAGATCTTCCATCAGTCTGGAAAATTCTTTTTTTTTTAAAAGATTTTATTTTATTTCTTTGAGAGAGAGAAAGAGCAGGAGCTGGGGGAGGAGCAGAGGGAGAGAGAAGCGGACTCCCTGCTTAGCAGGGAGCCCAGTGCGGGGCTCCATCCCAGGATGTTGGGATCATGACCTGAGCTAAAGGCAGACACTTAACTGACTGAGCCACCCAGGCCTCCCAGTTCTGGAAAATTCTTATATTTCTGAATATTACTTCTTCCCTATTTTCTCTATGAAGTGGTATTTCCTTCTGGAATTCTTCCCCCTACCTTTAAAGCAGCTGTTCCCACCATCTGCAGTTGCATCTTTTTGTTGTTGTTAAAGATTTTATTTATTTGACAGAGAAAGCACAAGCAGGGGGAGTGGCAGGGAGAGGGAGAAGCAGGCTCCCCATAGAGCAGGGAACCTGATGTGGGGCTCGATTGCAGGACCCTGAGATCATGACCTGAGCTGAAGGCAGCCTCTTAACCGACTGAGCCACCCAGGCGCCCCTGCAGTAGCATCTTAACTGGTTGTTTTTGTTTTTGTTATCTTTTTCTTTTTTTTTTTTTATCTGGTTTTTCCCCATCAATCCTTTTAATGTATTTAAGCTAGAATGTCCTTTGTAACATATTAGAAAATCTGGTCCTATTACTCCTCTGTGTAAAACTCATCATTGTTCTTGGGTAAAGTTCAGACTTGTTACCATACCTTCAAGGGTTTTTATGAAATGACTCCTGTCTCTTTCTCTCATCTCCCTCATTTCCTTTGCCTTCTTTTACACTATACTCCAGCCATTCAGAAATATTCTGTTTTTAGAACTTGCTGTGCTTTCTTTGTTTCTACTAGGTCTTTGGAAAAAATAGTTTCCTCCATTGGGGAACTTTCTCCTCCTGCAGTTATTAGTGGCTCCATATATTAATACTCAAGATCTTAGTTTAGGGCTACTTCTAAGAAGCATTTTCTGATTTCTCAGTCTTAAATCAGGTCCTTTTTCTTTGTTCTCCGTAATGATTTTATTAGTTTCATACCATAGTGTGGTAATTTGAACATATGAACCAACACCACTTGAGGTAATTACAAATAGGGTTTACTGGGGGCACCTGGGTGGCTCAGTTGGTTAAGCGGCTGCCTTGGGCTCGGGTCATGATCTCAAGGTCCTGGGATTGAGCCCTGTGTTGGGCTCCCCGTTGAGCAGGGAGTCTGCTTCTGCCTCTGCCCCTCCCCACCACTCACTCTCTCTCAAATAAATAAATGAAATCTTTAAAAATAGGGTTTCCTATTGCTTGGGAAGCTTGATACAGATTCAGAGCTCTAAATAGTTCTTCCCAAGGAGGAGTTGTTGCTTCTCCTTTCAAATCTACAGTGTTTTCTTCTGGGTCCTAGCATTTCTTGCCAGTTCAACCTGTTTTGTCTTAATCCTATTTACTTATCATCATCATTTAATTTTTACCCTAAGATACCTTAAAATATAGTTGGGGAGTCACAGTTTATACATAAGTCAGCAGACAAAGGCCAGGCTGTTTCCATTAAGCATGTTTTCATCTCTAAGATTGTTTTGTGTCTGGATCTGTAGTTTCAGTTTTTGATCAAAGCTGTTAACTTGGCCCACTCTGTATGCCTCCTCACTTCCTGCCAACAATCTATACAAATGACACTATGGATACACCTTTTGAATGACATAGGTGCTTATCTGATTCAGGTTCTTTGAAATGCGAACCCATTTTCATTCATATTTCCTAGACTCCCTTTTATCCATGTCTGTTCTTTTTTT